TGGAATTGTAGCCAACACTTTCCGAGAATTTGCTTCCACTGACACACCTGATCGTAAATGGGTATTATTTGATGGTCCTATTGATGCCTTGTGGATTGAGAACATGAATACAGTATTAGATGATAATAAAAAACTATGTCTAATGTCTGGTGAAATAATACAGTTGTCTGCTGTTATGAGTTTAATTTTTGAAACAATGGATTTATCACAAGCCTCTGTAAGTATACACATATAATCAGTCTGTGTATTTCCACCAGTTTGTGCATATTCACAATAGTAATACATATATACAGACGAATGTTTTAATGCATAGTTAATCTCTATGTATATTCACACCGGTAATACACAATTGAAGAGTTTATGTATTCACACAGTATATACAATTTAAAACCCCTCTCTCTGTGCCTTTATTCTAGTAATACACAACCAGTCTGTGTATTGACCGTAGGAATACACATACCCAGTTCCTCAATATATATTTGCACAAGTAATACACCAGCAGTCTGTATATTCACACCAATAACACACAGTATACCCAGTCCAAAAGAGTGTATTTGCTCTAGTAATACACACCCAATTCCTCAGTGTGTCTTTGTACTAGTAATACACAACCAGTCTGTGTATTCGCCCTAGTTACACACACACCCAATCATTCTGTGTGTATTCGCATTTAGTAATACATATTTAGAAATTTTGTGTTATATATATGCTTTCTTTGACTTTATATCCCAAATAATAAAAAATAATAATAATGATTTTCTATAGTGCTGAGAAGCTGTACAAAAGGATATAGCATTGAAAACAAGAAGCATGTGTAAATAAAATTATAAAAATGCCCAATATTGATGTGTTATATAACTGTCATGTAACTGGTTTCAAATCATAAAAGATTGTTTGTATTTTAGCCTGCTACTGTTAGTAGATGTGGTATGGTGTACCTTGAACCCTCAACTCTTGGTTGGAGACCTATGGTTCGCTCCTGGCTTAATGTCTTTCCAGAAGTTGTACCAAGAGATGATGTGGAAGTTTTAGATGGTTTGTTTGAATGGTTGGTTGATCCATGTCTAGAATTTGTCCGAAAGAACTGCAAGGTTGGTAAAACATATTAATATTATTGTTACCCATTCTCATTACAAATAAATGAAATGCAATTGGTTTAACTTCCAATTAATGAATATGTTCATGCTTCTCCGCCTACTCTTCATCCAATTCGAATGTGCATGAGAACGAGTACACAGGTGGCCATTGTTTTTTTGTACCAGCCGAACTACTATATGCTTTTACCGTGCCAGGCCCGCAGTTCTGCCCCACTAATCGAACTGAGGACCTCTTGGTTAGTGAGCCAATGCCATACACACTGTGCCACTGTAACTCCCATAACAAAAGTACTAAGAATCCTATAGTAATGGTATCCGGTGTTTTAAGCGGTAACATTAATACCCCTTTCATGCATGGCACCAATAGCATATTGTATAAATTCTGTCTCAAAGGCAGCTAAGAATTATATAATGATATTGGTAAGCTTATACATTTATGAAAATATAAAAATTTTATGTTTTTTCCCAATAGGAATATGTTCCATCTGCTGTGGCTAATTGTGTATCATCGTTGATGAGAATGATTGACATGTTAATGCATGAAACATTAGAGAAAGAAGATGCAGCTGATAATAAACACATCCGAGGATATTTAGTGGTAATTATTACTCTGTAGAATATATATCATATTTTGAAATGAAATGAAATTTAATGTCCGACTTTATTGCTCCGACTGGGCTAATGAAGACGGGCATACACCATAGGCCCTACAGTGTTCTGTGAGGTAATTTTTGCCCAGACAACAGCATTAGGACATAGCCTAGGGATGTTTTACGTGCACACCAATGTGTAAACGGAATCTCAGTTTTTCATCCCATTCAAACGATTATACGTTATTCCTTGCACATATGTCCTGCACAGATAAACTTTCTCGGACAACGTAGGGATTGAACACGGTACCTCCAGATTAGCGAGTCAACGTCGTACTCTCTGAGCTAGCGTGGCTTCCATGATATTTTGAATATCTATCATGTTTATTTTATCAAAACAATAATGTAACTAAATACTTGTTTGATATTTTTACTTCCTAAAAGGTGTTCTGTAGTTTATATTAAATGACTTTTGTTCACTAAATTCTAAACGAGACATTTTTTTCAATTATGTATTATTTATAAATATATTCTATATTTTTTTAGTCGGCTGTTTTATTCGCCATACCATGGACAATTGGAGCTGGTGTTGATAATGATGGTAGAATCAAGTTTGATACTTTCTTCCGTGAAATATTGTCTGGCAAGATGGAAGAATTTCCTATACCGAAATCTGTAAATAAACTAGAAGTACCCTACCCTGCTGAACATCATGTATATGATTACATGTTCGAGGTAATTTAACAGAAATTTTTTGTTTTTGCTTTGTTTATTGAAACATTGTCATTGACAAATGAAATGAAAGATAATCATTAATATCCATAATTCTTGGAAACCCAAATCAAGTTGTAAGATAGTAAAGAGAATAGTGGAACAACCATATTGTTAGAACAAGTATGGGCGTACTATTGACCAGGTACCATGTGTGATACCATCACAGCCATCTTTAGATATTGATGTCATATCGAAAATCGAAATCCGTCAATTGATGTACAATTGTCAAAGGAACAAGCATGCCAAGTTTCATGTTGATTGTACTTAAATTGGCGGGGTCTTAGGCTTTTTGAAAGAGTGTCCTCCCCAAGAATAACAAGATTAATAGAGCTTGGGGTCAGGTCCAAAAATATGAATATGTATAGAATATTCAGTGTTATATTAAACTAATGATTTTTATGTTTTAACAGCAAAAAGGTAGAGGAACATGGAAACATTGGAATGAATTAATTAAAGGAGCTGAAATAAAATCTAAGAAGATAAGAGAGATGTTAGTACCAACTATGGATACAGCTAGATATACCTATCTCATGGAACTCTGTATACAACAATCAAGGTATGCAATCAAATATTACATAAAAAAAAAAAAATAACACGCCTGTGTTTTAGAAAGTCTTAATAAAGAGCGTAGCAAGCATTTATGACAACCGTCAAGTGCCTGGTAAATATTGATACACCAAAAATGTATCAATACAGTGTATCACAGACAATTATATTGCAATCTATAGATATAGCAATATTTTTTGACGGCCCTACCTATGAAACGTCATTTTCTTCCTTCTTTTCCTTGGATACCACTAACTGATGTTTTCTTGTTTTATTTTTAAACAGCCACCATTTGCTTATTGAAATAAATAAACAATATGTTGTATTTATATTTCAGACCTATATTATTAGTTGGTCCGACCGGTACAGGTAAAAGTGTGTATGTACAGGATAAATTAATGAATGGCTTACCTAAAGATAAATATCTACCAACATTTGTAAACTTCTCCGCACAAACCAGTGCTAATCAAACACAGGTAGGATTCAAATTTAAACATTTCTTAAATTTAACAAACGTAACCATGATAACTTAAATAATTGCCTTTGGATTTGCTTTTTCTTTGACTATGAATGGTAAATTGCATCCGGATTGCAATATTGAAAATGCACTAATGTACATTTATACGGTTCAATTTATTAGAAATATTAATAATGCATACTGCTTTATACAAAAGGCCAAATAAATTTAAATTTTAGTACATTGGGAGCAATCAGCTTTGAATTTTTAAGAAAAAAAAAGAAATATCACTCAGAGCCTAATTATCAAGATCCCGAAGAACCAAAAATCAAATTGTTTTAGCCTGATTAATTTGTTTGTTTTAGAACAAAATTTGCTTTTACTTTTATGTATTAATTTGTTTATTTCAGAATATTATCATGTCTAAACTTGACAAGAGAAGAAAGGGTGTATATGGACCACAAGTTGGTAAGAAAGCTATTATATTTGTTGATGATATGAACATGCCACAGAAAGAAGTATATGGAGCTCAACCACCCATAGAATTATTACGACAATATATTGATCATGGCAACTGGTAAGATTTTTTTTTACCTTTCCTTTTTATTGTTATCTCAAATATTTTGTTATATATGTACTGGTGTGGCCGACAGAAACCGAAATTACATGTAGTTCTAATAAAAGTGAATTTTCAAGCACAAATATCATAATGAGATTGTCACTTATGCAAAAGGATAATTATAATTCTAGGTATGATCTCAAAGATACATCTAAGTTGGTTTTACAAGATATACAGTTTATGGCTGCTATGGGACCACCAGGTGGAGCTAGAAATGTCGTCACTCCCAGATTTTTGCGACATTTTAACATAATTGCCATGAATCCATTCTCAGAAGACACTATGGTGAAAATATTTAATACAATTACATCATCATATTTGAGAGTAAGTACTCTATTACTGTAATTTGAAAAATAATCTGGCCGCATTCTACATGACTTAATATCAGCACGTCATGGAATGATGATCAACCAATCGTCCATCAAAAGTCGTAAATATTGTTGAAATTAATGTAATTATTAATGGAAAACATAGGTGAAACTGACTGAAACTTATTGCTGTTGTTACTATTTTTTGAAAATGAAATAAGGTCGGGTTTACTTTGATGTCTTATTTTCCGTGCCAACGTGGTTAATTGAGACAATCTAGTGTGCCATACGGAAAATTTTGCCCCCAAACTGGCTGTACGACCTACTCTTATATTTTTTTCGAACTGTCAGTGGATCTTAAAAGTGCTGCCAATTGTATACACAGGACCTTTTGTTTTTGTACTATCTGAATAACTAGACGGCACCTTTTCCATGCTAGGCCCTCTCGTGTTCCTTGCCCCATATCAGCAGAGCTTGGCAAAATATTGAAAACATAATTATATAGAATCTCATCAGTTAATGTCAAATTCAAATTCCCCCCCCCCCCCCTCTCGATGTTCTTTTTTTTTTTCACTCAATTAATTTGTTTTATTTTCTCAATAGAGTGCCGAGTTTTCAACCGATTTCTTCTCTGTTGGAAGTCAGATAGTTCAGGCTACCATGGAGATGTATAAAATGGCAATGGTGAATCTCCTTCCAACTCCTGCTAAATCTCACTACGTGTTTAATCTACGAGATTTCTCTCGTATTATTCTCGGTGTCTGTCTCATTAAAAAAGAACAAGTGGAAAGTAAAAAAGTCATGGTCAGGTAAAATATTATATTCAGTTTTTTTTAATCATAATATATTAGATGTGCTTCTTCTATTGATGTTTAACGTCTGCTTCCTCCAATGGTGATATCGCAGACAGATTGTCTTATTTTATTATGCTTAGCGCATGCGCAGGGGTCTTTCTTGTAGGAGGAAACCGGAGTACCCAGAGGTGACTGGCCAGCTAGAGCTCGAAGTACGATACTTTAGACCACTTGGCCATCCCAACCCCCTATTAGTTGTGCTGTTGATGCAAAAAGGTGCAACATCGTTGTGTAGGTGATATCAGGGATTTCAAAAAGAGTAAGCCTACTCTGCCTCATTCAATACACAGATCATTATGATTTGGATTTCAGTGATAGAAGTTCCATGGGAACTATGACAGAGGCCTGTGATTTATGTATTACTTATTATTTTATGTACTCCAGGGTTAATTTGTATTTTATGTATCTCACATCTCATACTCCATCTTTTATTTGTATTTTATGTATTTCGCATGTCATACTCCATCTTATGTTTGTATTTTATGTATCTCACATCCTCATACTCCATCTTTTATTTGTATTTTATGTATCTCACATATCATACTCTCTCTTTAATTTGTATTTAATATATCTCACAATTCATACTCCATCATTTATTTGTATTTTATATTTATAGATTATGGGTACATGAAGTAATGAGAGTATTCTATGATCGTTTAATTGATGACTCAGACAGACTATGGATTTTTAAGTAAGTCTTTAATCAAGTCAATTACATTTTCATATCATACCATGGAAACATGTTATTTATTTGTTCAAGTACTGATAGAAAAATTTCAGTCGGACATGTCTTTCTTTTTTCGTATTTGAAGTTTCTAGAAAATTTGATAAACTACTACTTTTGGAAAAAAGCTCTAACCCTTTTATGTTATCTAATATTATAGAGCTGTTCAAGGCCTGGTCAAGGAACATTTCAAAGAAAGTTTTGAAGGAGTGTTCGAACATCTAGCTGATGAAGGTAAAGTGAAAGAGGAGAACTTGAGAAGTTTGATGTTTGGAGACTATATGAACCCTGAAGCAGAGCCTGATGAACGAGTTTATGAGGAAGTTAAATCATTAGATGATTTCTATGTGGTCGTAGAACAATGTCTAGAGGAATATAACAATACACATAAAACTAGAATGAATCTGGTTATATTTAGGTAAATAAAACATGCATAATCATATATTGGCTCCATGCTTGCAGGGGGGTTGGATGGCCGAATGGTTAGCACGTGCGCACTGTATCATAAGGTCTGTCACTGGCGTGGTTACGATTCCCCGGTTGTACGTGACAAGGAGTAGGGTCGTCTATCCAACTGTGTGGGTTTTCTCTGGGTCCTCTAGTTTTCTCCCACTGCAAGCGAATTGTTAAAATAAAAATTAACCCTGTGTTAGTCCCGAAATGACCTAGTTTGTGTTGAGTGGACGTTAAACCCCATTTCTCTCTCTCTCTCTCTCCCATTCTTGCAATATAATTTTACAAATAAACTGATTACTGTACAGTTCATAATAGTTTTCAGATAATAAGCCATCTAATTTTAAAATCTTAACAATCGGTATATGAAAGTTGGCAATGGTGTATCCATGTATCAATTACTTGGCACCGCCATAAAAAATGGCAGAAATGATGAATGAGCATTATAAAACTCTTCAGAAATGTAGTATGTTAAACCCCATTTCATTTCATTTAAAATCTGTTAAACTTCCAATGCCATTATTTTTTCCAGATATGTATTGGAACATCTATCTCGAATCTGTCGTATTTTGAGACAACCTGGTGGTAATGCCCTTTTGGTTGGAGTGGGTGGTAGTGGTCGTCAGTCGCTGACCCGTTTAGCAACAGCTATGGCTGGCTATAACCTCTTCCAACCAGAAATCTCCAAAAATTATGGTAAAAATGAATGGAGAGAAGATATTAAGGTAAGACTTGAATGTTTTAACATCCTATCCGCCGTTTTAACTAAAATTGATTCTTAAAATCCACCATAACTGTTGCATTCTACATCATCGGTCAACCATTTAGCATTCGTAGATAGAAAATTTAATACAAAACAGTCTACATTTATGAGCTCACCTGTACATTTCGGGATTCAAAGAAAAATTTAGTACTTGTTTATTGTCAGTTATGTTCTTTTCGAAATTATATAAATTTTGCTAATAAGATTATAATTCTAGATGTCAAACTGTTTTTCATAGTAATGTAGTGTTTACACAAATACGGTGTTCAAAATGTTTTCAAAAATTGTTGAACTTATATTGTCAATGTTCTTTTCTAAATTATATATAATTTTGCTGATAAGATTATAATTCTAGACTTCAAACCGTTTTTCATAGGAATGTAGTACAAATATTCAAAATGTTTTCAAAAATTTTTGAACTTGTATTGTCAATGACAACTGATGAAATTTCATGTTTTTGTCTCCTATGTACTATTTGATAATATTCATTCATTGAAATCAACTAATAAAATATTCAGAAATAAACAAACAATAATGATTTGAATTGAATATTCTAATGGCATTTGAATAATGACATAGCATATTTGAACCTTAAAATCAGCCTTCAATGTGACTTCTACTGCAATGAAAGATAGCCAAGATACAGAATTTATTTTGTATTATAGAATCTTCTGAAGACCGTAGGAGGTGTTGGTAAAGCCACGGTGTTCCTCATCACAGATACACAGATTAAAGAAGAATCATTCCTTGAAGATATTGACAGTTTACTGAACACAGGCGAAGTCCCCAATTTATTTGCTACAGACGAAAAGGCGGAAATTATGGAGGTTTGTTTCATTTTGTAGATTTAAGTAGGAATTAAAGTGCTGCAAGGTCTAGATATTTAGTTTGGTTATCTTAGGAATCATGTTTGTAATCTCTTTAAAAATATTTCGAAACATAGTACTAGTAGAATTTATTTTCTGAAAAATTAAAAAAGATATTAACAAATTTAAACATGACAACAATTTTTTTTTATCTATTGCAGGCTGTTAGACCAGTTGCTCAAGCTGGTGATAAGAATGCAGATTTCAGTCCTCTTGCCTTGTTTTCCTTCTTCGTCAACCGATGTAGAGAGAATCTACATATTATGATAGCCTTCAGTCCTATTGGTGACGCTTTCCGTAACCGGTTACGTCAGTTCCCTTCACTGATTAACTGCTGTACCATAGATTGGTTCCAGGTTGGTTATTGATTCATATTTTCTCCATATATTACACAGGTTAAAGCCACAGAGCTTGAATAGGTGGGAATTTGAGCTAATTGGTTAAGGTTGGGGTTTAAGGTCTGGATTAAAAACCTGCAGCTGAAACACTCTACATTTGTTAGTGAGCAGTATCTGTTAACACCCAGCCATTTTCTTGCTACTATAAAATTATAATATACTGTTCAGATGCTTAAATTGAGCTAGTTTGAGAAATTTGCAGAGTCAATCAAGATATAATATACATAATTAACTACAACCTCTTAACATGGATGTGAGAACGATTAAGCTGGCTTGAATTTTGTCCATTTGAATGCTACAATGCCCGGGCTTTAAAATGCCAGTATTTTAAACTAGGTTAAATATAGCTGTCTGAAATGAGCATTTTGTTTGTATTGTTTATAGCCATGGCCAGAAGATGCATTAGAACGTGTTGCTAACAAGTTTTTAGAAGATGCTGATATTGAAGATCAAGAAAAGGTAGAATCAGTTCATATGTGTAAATATTTCCATCAAAGTACCAGAATCCTTTCTGAGAGGTAAGTGATCAAGTACTCACAATTATTATAAAATCATTTTTGAATCTTCTGTTTGAAATCATTATTCATCCAAATATGAAACTCAAAATGTAATCAGTTCTCATTTTTGAAAATATCATTTATTATAGTTACTATTTTTGTTTAAATATGGTTTTTGTTTTTGAATAAATCATTTATTATAGTTCTTGATTTTCAGTATGATATCACGTATATGGTAAATAAATGAACATAAATTCATCAGTAAAATTTTCCAAACTTTTTATAAGTAAAATGTTTATTTTACGCATGTTAGTAAAACGCCTCTGTTTTTGATATTGAAATATTTATTTGTGTGTATATTTTAGGTTTTTGGAAGAGTTGGGTCGACATAACTATGTTACACCTACCTCGTATTTAGAGCTGATTTATGCCTTTAAAAATCTGCTACAGAAGAAACAAGATGAAATCATGAAGGCAAAGAGACGATATATTGTTGGTCTGGAAAAACTTGCCTTTGCTTCTTCTCAGGTAACATATTTGTCATACATTATACCTTTGTATACTTTGAAATTGATCATCCTCAGTATTTTCCTTTCTGATTTCTCCTTGTCAGGGGTGTAGGATAAAGGGTCTAGTCATTCGGATGGCTACAAAAAAAACAATGTCCAACCATGTAGTTGTATAAGAATCCTTGACAGTTAGAAGTCGTGGACGATAGGTAGAAACAGCACTGTCCCTGCAGCATTTCCCTCATAGCACACTACGTGGCATATGCATGCTTTCATTAGCAAGATTGGTGCAGAAAAGTAGGATGCTAAACCCCATTTCATTTCATTTCAAAAACTGCATGTATGATTAATATCTTTATATTCTCATTCCAGGTAGCAGACATGCAGAAAGAGTTGGAAGAACTACAACCACAGCTTGTTGTATCAGCAGCAGAGAATTCTAAAATGATGGTCATTATCGAGAAGGAATCTGGAGAAGTGGAAGAAACTAGTAAAAAGGTCAAGGCTGATGAAGCAGTAGCCAATGAACAAGCAGCCGAAGCTCAAGCTCTAAAAGATGAATGTGAGAATGAGTTAGCTGAAGCTCTACCTGCTTTAGAAGCTGCCTTGTCTGCCCTTAACACGCTAAAGGTATGTGCTAAAATTATTTCATAACATGTATTCATTTTATGTCTTATTTGACTGTGCAGAAGCTAGACTGTCAGCTGATCTGTCTGGTTATCCATTGATGGTATGGATTAGAATATAATTAATGTAAAACCACATGTTGTGAAATCAACCATTAACTCTCTTGTCTTTAAGTCAAAGATTACATAATGGGAGATAACTCCAAAAGACTCTGATGACTAATAAAGGGGAGGAAACCCTTCCATGAAAAGTGTGATTAGCACGCAATGTATGGAGGATATATAATGAGATATAATTAATAAAAGTATAGGTAATTAATTAACACTCGGGGATAATATAAAGATGTTAGCTGTTTAAGCTTCCCAAATGAATACAATGTGGTATCAGGTGTTTCACCCACCTCATGCAAGAGAATGATATCCAAAAAAATTCAAGATGAGAATCGTTGAGCTTGATGATGTGACAGGTATATCTCCTGTCGGGATTCAAACCAGTGACATTCAGTGTGAAAGATTAACTTTCTACCAAGGCGGCCATAAGGGTGCCCCAGGCCTAATTGGCTGAATTAACTCACACACAATGTATTTACAATCCCTAGAATAGCCTGCATGGCCATTTGGATCAATGGGGGTGATTAGATTAACAAGAGCATGTGTTAATTTAACTCCCATCTTTATTTGGCCATAATCTCTAAGGGCAGGCAACTCTAGCCAGCCTTACCAGCTATATCAAGGGAAGCCACTCCTTTAGGTTTGGGGCATGTCAGACCACTATTATGTTACTAGTGGGGAATATTCCTAAGAGAATTATTACTACATAACAAAATGTATATGCAACCTGTTTACATAATCAAAACACTATTTCATGTAAATTTAGACAGCAGATATTGTTATTGTGAAATCCATGAAGAATCCACCATCTGGTGTAAAAGTTGTAATGGCTGCTGTCTGTATTATGAAGGATATCAAACCAGATAAAATAAACGATCCTGATAAACCTGGATCAAAGGTAACTTTACATCAGTTTTATTCAGGTTATTCAAAACAATGTTTTATGATTGTAAGATATATTATTAAGAAACTAGATATTTCTCTGCGAAGTATCTTTCTAGTTCTAAGCAAAACTAATTATCATTTCTAATGTGATGGAAAATTCGAAAAAGATAATTTTAGCTTAGCGATCTGTGAAATCCCAAAAGCATATATTATAACTTCTTTAGACACTTTAGTATTATGTAATTATTTTCTGGTGAGTAAGATGTTGGCTCGCTAACTTGGAGGTCCAATGTTTGATCCCTGTTCTGACCAAGAAAGTTCATCAGGATTTTCCAGCATGGTTCCCCCATGTCCGTGGTGCAGGATGGAAAGCCTGGCAAGGGATAACGTATAGTCATTCCAATAGGACAAAAAACTGAGGTCCAGTGCACTTAAAAAAAACTTTTGACATTTGGATTTCGATATTAAGAGTAGGCCGTAGTGCCACTGTCAGGGCAATATTTCCCTCACTGTATGCCCTCTACTTTTCATTAACCTCTTTAATATAATATTATTATTCTTTATAGATTATTGGGGACCTCTGTAATATAATAATATTATTCTTTACAGATTATAGATTATTGAGGACCTCTTTAATATAATATTATTATTCTTTACAGATTATAGATTATTGGGGACCTCTTTGATATAATTTTATTATTCTTTACAGATTATAGATTATTGGGGACCTCTTTGATATAATTTTATTATTCTTTACAGATTATAGATTATTGGGGACCTCTTTGATATAATTTTATTATTCTTTACAGATTATAGATTATTGGGGACCTCTTTGATATAATTTTATTATTCTTTACAGATTATAGATTATTGGGGACCTCTTTAATATAATATTATTATTCTTTACAGATTATAGATTATTGGGGACCATCTAAGAAGTTATTAAATGACATGAATTTCCTTAGTATGTTAAAAGAATATGACAAAGATAATATACCCGTGAGTAAAGAAATTTATTTTATTTCCGTTTACATACTGATTCTTCTACAAAATAAAACATTTAGACCAGTAATTTTAAACCATAGCAAAAATCAGCTTGAGCCATGATCAGGCCCCGCGTTTACAATGCATTCTTAGACTTAAGTTAAGAATTTTCTTAACATTCAATCACTGTTCATGAGAAATACTTTTGATCCAGAAACACGAAAGTTTGCACAGAGTTTCTTATTGATTTATTTGATACAATAAAACAACAAAAATTTTATAAAGGACTATATTTTAGTTAAAATAAGGCGAACTATTTTGAGTAAATTTTTAACATAAGTCTGAGAATGCTTTGTGAACTCGGTGCCAGTTCTGTTGTGCTAGAACTGATTATGAAGGTGGTTCATGCTTCAGTGTGGTGGGGCATGACTGATTGCAATGATTATAAATAGACCCCTATGCACGACCAACCTATTGAAATAAGATTGTACTATATGTCCCAAAAGGACCATTGCTTGTATCAAGTGGACATTAAACCACATCTCTCTCTCTTAATTTTTATATATATTTTTTTTTTTCACCCTTACATGTAGCCAGTTGTTGTTTTGTAGGTACACGTCATGGCTAAAATCCGAAAAGAGTACATTGGAAACCCTGAATTTGATCCTGTTAAAGTAGCTAATGCCTCATCAGCTGCTGAGGGTCTGTGTAAATGGATTACAGCTATGGAAATATACGACAGAGTTGCCAAGGTTGTTGCTCCCAAAAAAGCCAAACTTGCTGAAGCTGAGACAGAATTGAAATCCACGATGGACATGTTGAATACAAAACGTGCTGAATTAGCTGCTGTAGAAAAACGACTTGCCGATCTTAAAGCATCCTTCCAGGAAATGACGGACAAGAAAGAAAAACTGGAATTTCAAGTCGATCTGTGTGGAAAGAAACTCGTCCGGGCTGAAAAACTAATCGGTGGATTAGGAGGAGAGAAAGAGAGATGGACGAAAGCTGCGGAACTATTACAGATAACTTATGATAATTTAATGGGTGATGTATTGATATCAGCTGGTGTTATTGCCTACCTCGGACCTTTTACTTCTGCATTTAGAGATTCCTGTACAATTGATTGGGTGAAACAATGTACCGTGAGTGTTTATTGGTGATTTCTCTTACCTTTGTATTTTTAACTGAATTGTGTAAATATTCTGTCATTGAGGCTAGTCGTGTCATGGTGAAAACATATACCTACAAGCTATGCTAGTGAATTTTTCTGGATTTTGATTTCCTTCAGTCACAAAATAAAATAATGGTTCTATTTCTATTGATCCATCAACAATTACAATTTTTGTTGTTAGATTATCGTCTACAAATTTTAGAGCATTAATATTTGTATTTGGCTTGATTTTTTCAGAATCGTAAGATTCCATGTTCTCAAGAATTTTCTTTGAGTAAAACATTGGGTGAACCAATCAAAATACAAGCCTGGAATATTGCTGGTTTACCTAAAGACAGTTTTTCTATAGATAATGGTGTTATAGTTGCTAATGGTCGTAGATGGTGAGTACATTTAGTATATTCTATGATTGATAGTGATGACAGTGCCAAAAATACCTCCGTATCGAAGTGTTGCTATGGCCTACACAGACTTAGATTTAAATTGTCAAGTGATCTTCAAAGTACTTGTGGGGGGGAGGGGCCGGATGGCCGAATGGTTAGCGTGTGCGCGCTGTTATCATAAGGTCTGTCATTGAGTCAACTGCCGTGGTTTCGATTTCCCAGTTGTACATGACAAGGAGTAGGGTTGCCTGTCCATCCTCATGGGTTTCCTCCAGGTCTTCTGGTTTCCCCCCCTTGATAAAGATCCCTACGCACAGGGGAATTATTGAAATAAAATTGAACCACATGTTAATCCCGTATTGCCAATGGTATACATGGGGGCAATGCTTTTCCTTGCCAGATCCTCCATCATGCACCACTGACAAGGGGGGAAACTAGGAACTTTCTCGACCAACACCCTATCGAACCATGCATCTCTCCAAGCCACCACAGCTTCTGCCTCTGCATCGAATGCTGACATGAGTTTATAAGAAATTTCAGGACACCGGTAAGTTTTGATACTGGTCGTTTGAATGAGGCACCAGATGTCAAAAGTACAATTTATAGTGCTTCAATGGATCCTTTGACAGTTATATTTGTAGTGTGTAGAAACACTGGGTTAAATTAAATGTTATCTACTGCAAAATTAATGTTCAAATTGTCCTTTTTTTTTCCATTTCAGGCCTCTTATGATTGATCCACAAGGTCAGGCCAACAAATGGGTGAAGAATTCTGAGAAAGACAACACATTATCAGTTATAAAACTTACTGATGGTGATTATATGAGAACTTTAGAGAATTGTATCTCATTTGGTAATCCTCTATTATTAGAGAACGTAGCAGAAGAGTTGGATCCGTCTCTAGAACCTCTACTATTAAAACAAACATTTAAACAAAGTAAGTTTATTCAAACAAACTTTTAAAACAAAGTAAGTTTATTGAAACCAACTTTTAAACAAAGTAAGTTTATTGAAACAATCATTTAAACAAAGTAAGTTTGCTAGAGCCCAACTCCTTTGAAACAAACTTTTAAACAAAGTGAGTTTGCTACAACCTCTACTGAAACAAACTTTTAAACAAAGTAGTCTGCTTGAACCTCTACTATTGGAAACAAACATATAAACAACGTTTGCTAGAACCTCTACGATTGAAACCAATTAAGTTTGCTAGAGCTTTGTATTGAAACCAAATTTTAAATAAAAGTTTGCTATAACCTCCATTGATACAAACTTACAACAAAGTATGTTTGCTAGAATCTTTATTGAATCAAACTTTCAAACAAAGTTAGTCTGCTATGATCCCTTGAAACAGCAGATGCTGTCAAAGATGCTTTAAAAAGCATTTATTTAAAGCTTATTTGGGAGATAAAATCTCACAATTTCATATAGTGTTTCATACAGTGTAATATAAATGTGGGACACATTCTTAAAAGTTTTTTTTTCAGATTTAGGTTTCTATTTCTGTTTTTAGAATCTTTTGCAATAAACCAAGCAGACAGACAAGTTGTCAATACATGCTACTGACATCTTATGTCCCAAATAAGGTTGACAAGATTTTGTTTTTTATTTAACTTGTATTAATTATATTGTTTGTAGGTGGTGTTGATATGATCAGACTAGGAGATAATGTTACTGATATATTATGACAAGATTTTGTTTATTACTTAACTTGTATTAATTATATTGTTTGTAGGTGGTGTTGATATGATCAGACTAGGAGATAATGTTATAGAATATAGTAAAGATTTTAGATTCTATATCACAACCAAACTACGTAATCCACATTATCTACCTGAGGTGGCTACTAAAGTCTCTTTATTAAACTTCATGATTACACCAGAAGGTTTAGAAGATCAATTGTTGGGTATTGTTGTTGCTAAAGAAAGGTAGGTCTATTTATTTATTCATTTTACTTATTTGTTAACATTCAATGCTTTCTTTTCTTAAAGTGGGATTTGGGGCTAAGTGATCTAACTTATCCGCTTTGGATCGTAAGGTCTGTCATTGAGTCAGAAGGAAGAGATTTGTTGATAAGGAGTCCAGTCACTAGTCAAGCAGTGCAAGTTTTCTCCAGCCTCCAGGCCCTCCAGATTTCTCAGCAGTTATATTCAACATATGCTCTGACATAACACCACATAAAAAAACAGACTTTTGGACAAGAATGGCTTTTCAACATCCTTTAATGTCCATCTGATGATCAATTTGTTTTATCAACTTCAGACCTGAATTAGAAGAAGAAAGACAAGCGTTGATTATAACCAGTGCTGCGAATAAAAAACAACTGAAAGAAATTGAAGATAAAATTCTCCACACCCTGTCAGCATCAGAAGGCAACATTTTGGAAGATGAATCAGCCATTAAGATTCTAGATTCGTCGAAAATTCTTTCTGATGAAATCTCGAAAAAACAAAAGGTAAGTGTACATAAAAAAATCCTGGACTTCGAGAATTTGATGCGAGTCGGAGGAGAATGCTGCTGTCCACACCAACTTCACTTCCATGCATTGCACATGTCACAATAGAAATATCCATGTTGGTTTCAAAATGACTGAAAAGACATTGAACCACATTTCATTTTATTTTATCATTTAAAGAGACATATGTTTTGTTGTGTTGGGGCGTTTTATCCTAGGATTGTCCTGGATTTTTTTTATTTATAACAGTCCATCAAAACAACCATCTTGAAGTTCACCCAATCCCATACTCCTCTAGGACTAAGGCCTTTTATTAACAAGGGGAACAACTCTATATGCTATAATGGTTTTAAGAAGGCTTCAGACCACATTTAACTAATTATTAATCTACTTTGTAAAAGTAGAATAGCGAGCAAGTAATAGGAGCTATATATGACAATATCTATTTTTAGGTTGCTGAAGAAACAGAAAAGAAGATTGAAACATCAAGAATGGGATATCGACCAATCGCCAAGCATTCCTCTATTCTTTTCTTTTCTATAACCGATTTACCTAATATAGATCCTATGTATCAATACTCCCTCACATGGTTTGTCAACTTGTTTATCATGTCAATTCATGACAGGTATGTACACAAATCATTTACATATTTTCTAGAGACTTTCAGGGATTTTTTTTTTATTTAAAAATAATAAAT